GGGGCCGCACAGGTAGGTGGCGGGGCCGCACAGGTAGGTGGCGGGGCCGCGGAGGGCGGCGACGAGCCGTAGGGGGCCGTGAGGGGCCGCGGGAGGGGCCGTAAGGGGCGTAAGGGGCCGCGCGAGGGGCCGTAAGGGACGGCGCGAGGGGCCGTAAGGGCGGCGCGAAGGGCCGTAGGGGGCGGCGCGACGAGCCGTGAGGGGGCCGCTAAGGGCGACGCGACGGGGCCGTGAGGGGCCTAGCGAGGGCGCGACGGTAGGGAGAGCACACAGGGCGCGACTCGGGCCTGAGCGAAACGCGCTCCGGGCAGGAAAAAAAAAATTTCGTGGTGGTGGGCCCTAGGAATCGTTCCCACTAGGGAACCTGCTCGAAAACATGAGAAGAAACGAGGAATGAAATGACTAAGGGAAAGTTGGGTACAAAATGCAAACCCTAGAAAACTGTACCCCATATGTGCTACCCCACTATAGCCTACAGTAGCTCTGTCATATAAATCTGACAGTAACCGCCGGCGGCTGCTGCTGTAATAGCGCCAAAAGCGCTTGGACTTGGTCAGCAGTCAGCGCCGGAGTCAAAACAGGGTCAGCCGTCGCGTCAGACGAAGACCCAGTTCGGCGCCTCTGGCACTGACGCGACGGTCCAGCCACAGGTGCTGGCGCGTGCTCGGCGTCAGGCGCGTGTGGCGCCACAGGTGTTGCAGGTGCCGTCGTCGCCACTTGCGCCACAGGCGCCACTGGCGCCACAGGTGCCGAGGGTTGCTGCTGGTTGGCGGTTTTGTTGACTTCGCCACTGCGCGTCAAAAGGTCGACACCAGTGGACGCGTTGCCTTCGTCGTCCGCTCGCCGCTTGTTGCGGCGATCTCCCGTAATTTCACGGGTATTCTTCTCGTTGTCCGAACGATTCGGGGCGTTGTCGCTCGGCGCCATCGAAGCTTGATTGTAGTTAAGAATATCCGACAGCAGGGTAGAGGGTGCTTGAAAGCGTGGAAGGGTTTTCACCCTCGCCAGGTTGAGGTCCGAAAAAATCGGGAGGGAGTCGGAGCCTCCGAAAAAATCGGGATGGGTCTCGGAACTGGGAATTGAACTTGAGCGATTGTAAAAATGAGAGACGTGGGTGGGGGAAGAATGACCCCAACCCACATTATATATTCGGAGAAGGCGAATAGCGTGCTTCGACGATGCTCAAAATTGCGTTACAGTCAGCTTCGCTTTCACAATACACAAATTTGAAAGCGATGAACGCTTAGAAATTTTTCATTTCCATGCGCGTCACATTGATTGCTGTGATCATTATCCAAAGACTTTAATTGTTCATCATTATTATGCATGCCGTAATACAATCTTTCTAGCCTAAAATAGCTTTATTGGTTGAGAATGAAGTACTAGGGAGTATGAATTCACCATTCTGACCTCAATTCATCCATCCAGCATTCTCAGTGTTGAAGCTTTGCAACCAATCCTGTCTTCCTTCAATTGTGGGAGGCACAGCGGCACCACCCTTAGGCATTCTCGGGAATCGGAGCACCCCAGAGATTCGTCAGCGCTTCGAGTGTGGTCGGGCAGGCGGATTTGATCGTTTCAACCGTCGGGTTGGTAGGAAAGGAGCTCTGCTAGCGCGCAACGCTAAACCTTTTGTCGGGGGCAAGACATGATAGGGAGGTTGAAAGTAATTAGGCTGTGTGTGGGAGAGGGAGAGGAGTACGTAGAACAAGGCTGGGTGTGTGTGAGGAGGCACACTAAGGCCGCGTTTAGTGGAAGTATCATCCCTGCGCAAAGAGAGACTAAATAACACGCTATGCTGCCATGAGTTGATTGACACACCTGCAGCTCATCAAAACCCACCTCAAGTTTATGAAAACTCACCTGAAGCTCATCAGAGCCCACCTGCAGCTCATCACAACTTACCTCAAGTTCATAAAAACTCACCTGAAGTGAAGCTAAGCTCTTCAGCATGAATGGAGCTGAAGCGAGTCAGGATCACTCGTAGATTTGATTTGCCCTCTGCTGCTGTCAGCTCTGTCACCTTTGAGAAGTCAAAACAGAATGAGGCGGATTGCCCTAAAACAATGAATGACGTTACAAGAAACGGAGCCACCTTTGCTGCTGCCAGCAGTATCGCTTGCAATGTGAGTTGGGACACATGCGAGGAGTGGGATGGAATAACATGTACACAACACTCGTGGACATACCACAAGGAAAAAACGTGCAGTCTGCTGCTTCCAGCACTGTCACCCTGCAGTGAATGGAATTCTTCTATTTCCGAGCTTGCACAAAATACATGGAGAAAAACTTCAGCGCACTTTCCGCAAAGGATAAGCCATAAACAGAGTAGTCCAGATTCCTACTAGCTAGGCACTGCTTCCACTCGGAAAAGGTTTTTCCGCAAACAAAAAGGCACTGACCCGCAAACCACAAGAGATTACCCTTTTTCTGGCCAGACCCGCAAACAGGAAGGCACTGTGACTTGGAAAAACTAAGAGGATGAAACATCTCCACTCGTTCGGTCCAACATCCTCCTCACTTGCCTTCCTCCCTGTCCCTTCCAGCCAATCTGCTCTCCTCTTTCAACCATTCCCCATCTCCATCCCATAACTCCTTTTCCCTCTCCCTCTCCCCTCTCCGTTTACCTCCCTCTCCCTTCTCCTTCTCCCTCTCCCCTCTCCCTCTCCTTGTCCCCTCTCCCACTCCCCTCTCCCTCTCCCCTCTCCCTCTCCCCTCTCCCTCTACCCACTCCCACTCCCCTTTCCCACTCCCACTCCCACTCCCCTCTCCCTCTCCCCTCTCCCTCGTCCTCACTCCCATGAATCCCAGGACGTACCTTGATGCCTGCCTGCCTGCCTGCCTGCCTGCCTCAGCATACACCGCACCCCACCCCACTGCATCTACGGGTTCTCCTCTGCAGCCTGTAAGGGACAGCCTGTGGTGAGGGACCTCTGCTGCTACCAGCACTGTCACCTGCAGCCAAAGAGTCTGCTCTTCATCCCTATCACACCTGACATGACAACCCATGCATGGAAACCCAATGTGCTGCCTTGCTCTCCATCCCCACACATTTCTCTCGTGTAATGGAATTACAAAAAGAGCGGCACCGGTAGCACTCGTAGATGCAGCGGTCTGGAAGCATGAGAGGAAGAGGTGAAGGGAGGGAATAGGGAAGAACGAGAGGGAGAGACTAACTGAATGAGGGGGAAACCGAGGACGAGAGACAGAGGAAGCGAGTGAGCGGCAGGAAATAGACGGGAAGGAGAAAGAGGAAGAGATGGTCATTTGGGGTGAAGCAGACGAGGAGAAACACGTCATGCCAAATCCGACGAGGGAAAAAACATCCCACGACACTATTTCGAAAAATGTACAGCACTGTATAGATAACGCTGTACCTTGCGGGATTTAGTAAAGGACCTTCGGAGAGCTCGCATAAGCGCGATCCGCGATTCGATCAAGATCCCCATAAAAGCGTCGATAGCCGTCTAGCAGTGCACATTCCAACGTCTAATCGTCCTTCAAATCTATCGTCAAGGCGGCGGAGAGGTGACCATTGAGTCGACTCAAAAGACAACTTGTCAAGGCGGCGGTGGAGCGTACGAGCGCATGCGGAGGCGCAAAACCCGCCGCTTCCGCCGATTCTTCCGCCATGCAATGAAGCCGTGATCGTTGCTTCGATGGTACACTTCCAGCGATCGTGACTGCTGCAGCAAACCCATGCGCGACCCATTTCGAGAGAACAGCGATTGCACCGTGACTCGAGCATTGGAAACTGGCTGCTGACTGGCGTAGGCGCGACTCGGAGGTGACGGAAACGAGCAGGCAAGGAAAGCTAGGTGTTGTGTTGTGCCTCGCATGCAGGCGCGAGGGATGCCAGATTTGGAAGAGGTTGACTGATGAAAATGAAGTGGTGCAGTTCGGCTGGAGTGAGCGCAATGCGCAACCAGCAGGTGAGGAAAGCGAGCTGGTGCCTGAGGAGAATCAGTGGTGCAGTTCGGCTGAGTGAGTGCAACGCGCCAAAACAATTCTTGTAGATATATCAGCGTTTAAAAATTTAACACCAACACAACTCCACCTCACACTTCACATCACAGAGCAGCAACCGTGCACAATCCATAACAGAAAGCATTCCAATCAAGGGGAACAGATATCATGGTGTTTTGGTTTGCTGGTTGTGTTTTCGCAGCACATTAACAACCCTTCCGATTTTCAGAAACATATGTTGGCTTACTAATATGTATGAAATTTTATTGATGGTTGAAAATGCAAAAAGTTTAGGACGAGGAGCTCCTTAGAGGGTACGAATTCGCCATTCTGATCTGACCTCGATCTCATCCCTGAAGCTCTCAGTTTCGGAGCTTCACTACCGAACCTGTCTTCCTTTGACTGCGGGAGGCACAGCGCCACCACCCTTGGGCATTTTCGGGAATGGTGGAGCCCCAGAGGTTCGTCAGCGCTGCGAGTGCGGTCGGGCAGACGAAACTTATCATTTCATGCCGTCGACTTTGTCGGGAAGCATCTCCGCTAGCGCGCAGCGGAAAACGTTTTGGGAGGGGGGAGGACACGATAGAATCGGGGTTAGCAAAAAACAGATTCTGTCGCGTCGCTCCCTTGCGAAGACCCTCGGTGAGAATCGGTTCACCAGCCGATTCGTTCCCATTTTCGCGGTTTCAGTAGACTTCGCGCTAGGCAGCATGCCAGCGCACGGTTCCGATTTTCCGGAGGTGCTCGGGCAGCAACCGAGAAAGAATCCTACCTTTTTCCTGTGTGAGTGTCCCCTCCACACAACGTCCGTCCCTCTCTCTCCTGCTGCTCGTCTCATCTACAAATCCAACGCACTGAAGTCTTAGTTTCAGAGTCTTACAAATCCAGTTTCTTCTTGTTCTGTTGATTGATCCTTTTTCTAGCAAGTTCTGACCTCTCATAACGTTAACTCGTTCTTAATATCGTTCTCGCGGAACCTCTTCGCTCTTAGCGTTTAGCCTTGCTTTTACTCCCACTCACGCTCGGTTAGCTTGATGGCTGGTTCTTCTGACTTTCCGTCCATTGCTGATCGTTTGGCCCTCTGGGAGAAGCGCGGTTTTGTGATCCGGATGAAGGGCTATGCTCGGTCGTCTACTGACGGTCCCACGTTCGCCGAGGCTATGGCCTTGTGGGAAAAAAAGGCAGCGTTGCTGCAGGCGCAGCGTCATGCTTGGATGCAGGCGCATCGTCATGCTGTGCTGCAGGCGCAACATGATGCTTGGATGGTCTCCCAAGTTCGCAATCTGGCTGCCGAGGAGGAGGAGGACTCGTGGGTCGTTTCTCCTGAGGTCGAGGAAGTGCCTCAAGCTGAAGTAGAGGCTGCAGAGGAGGTTTATTCGCTGTTTATGGCTGCAGAGGGCGATTCTGATCCAAGCAGCAGTGACGCTACCATGAGCAGCTGCTTCAGTGACAGCAGCAGCAGCGGCCAGAGCTCCCAGGAGGAGCCTTCCACTGCCATTGCTGTCAACAGCCTCTGCTGCAGCAACTACAGGTTCAACTGCTACAACACTTACAGCAAGCAGTACAGTGACACCTCGTTGCTCCTTGACCTGGTGCTTCTGCTGGTTTCGTTTACAGTGAGTAAGAACGTGGTAATTGCTGTGCATCTTGCATCACGGATGGGTCTGCTGGGTGCAGACCAGAGCGTGGTCGGGGGAACGCCTGCAGCCAGTTGTAGACTGCTCCCTACACGGCGTCCCAGACCTGGCAGCACACGAGTAGCAGTGGTTCAGCCAGCTATGGTGGAGAAAACGATGGTGACTGTTTCTGTTGGAGGTCTCCAGGCTCTCAAAGGAGCTTCAGCAGCACTTGGGATGAAGATGCCGGCTAGGGCTGGAGGTGTGGTGTGTGAGGACAAGAAGCAGCCTTCAGGAGCTTTGGTTATTCCTTCTGGTGGAGGTGTCAAGAAGGGGTCAGCAGTAGCAGAAAGTAAGATGCAGCAGCACGTGAGGGTTGGAAGCTTGGCATTCGGTGCACAGAACTCGCCTTCAGGTCGTGTGGACTCTCCTCCTGGTGGACGTATCAAGGGAGCGCCGGCAGCCTTACAGAGCAAGATGAAGCAGCAGCAAGTTGGTTCGGGAGCATCACAGAGCAAGAAGAAGCAGCAGCAAGTTGGTTCGGCAGCATCACAGAGCAAGGAAAAGCAGCAGAAGCAAGTTGGTTCGGCAGCATCACAGAGCAAGAAGAAGCAGCAGAAGCAAGTTGGTTCGGCAGCATCACAGAGCAAGGAGAAGCAGCAGAAGCAAGTTGGTTCGGCAGCATCACAGAGCAAGAAGAAGCAGCAGCAGCAAGTTGGTTCGGCAGCATCACAGAGCAAGGAGAAGCAGCAGCAAGTTGGGTTGGCAGCATCACAGAGCAAGGAGAAGCAGCAGCAAGCTGGGTTGGCAGTATCACAGAGAAAGGAGAAGCAGCAGCAAGTTGGGTTGGCAGCATCACAGAGCAAGGAGAAGCAGCAGCAAGCTGGTTCGGCAGCATCACAGAGAAAGGAGAAGCAGCAGCAAGTTGGTTCGGCAGCATCAGAGAGCAATGAGCAGCAGCAACAAGTTGGGTTGGCAGTATCACAGGGCAAGAAGAAGCAGCAGGAGCAAGCTGGGGGTGTGAGGGTTGGGAGGAGGGTGGATCCTTCAAGAATGACAAGGGTAGTGGCAATAAGGCCTCCTTGGAGGCCATAAGGGCTTGTGTACCGTATTGAGATAATAATGGGATACATTAGATAGACACTGCATAGCTGTATCTGTGTACAATAATTGAATATTTATTTAAAGTTTATTTGTTTTACAATGTTGGGTTTAGCCAGTACTGTACTGGTAAATGCCTTGTCCTATGGCAAGAGGCTTCCACCCACATTTAGCCTTGACCTTTCAGAACGCAATAAGGCTTGCATTGCGTAGGATTTTACCATCCAGCAGTGGTTTCCATTGGTGCTCCTTTGCATTTGGCTACAATTGGCATTGCCCTGTGATAAAATTAAATAGTTTGTCTCTTGCCTTGCTACAAGGCAAATTGCTCAGTTCTTTCTAATGAAACCCTGTCTCCCTTTGCTGTAATGAGTGACATCATGAACCAATACAAACAAGTGAACAGCTTGTTGCATAACTATAAATGCTACACCACTTGTAACTAGCTTTTACAACACCACAAACACAACGCAATCTGCAAACATGGCCCACCCATACGACCAGTTTCATCCTTCCCTCTTCCAGAAGTCACCACTCATTGATCACTGAGTCACAACAGGCACAGGCAGGGCACAAGCCCCTCTGATTCCACTCCACTCATTCTGGTCCCCTTTCACACAGTAGGTGCGTTGCTGTGCTCATTTTTGCCACCTCATCACAACGAACAGTCGCCAGACAGACAAGGCAATAGCTGGAGGTATCAACTGGGTATCAATCAACTCCTTCACAGCGGCCGCAGGCGAGGGAAGTCAACAAGCAGGTCGCGCTCTGTGAGAGTGTCCTCGTCATCTTGAGGTGTCCAGAGCACTTCAACAGCCTGGAGGACAAGGAGTGAGGGTTGTACGGCAAGAGAGAGGGAGCAGGGACGGAGGCGAGGCAAGTCAACAAGCAGGTCACGCTCTGTGAGCGTGTCCTCATCGTCTTGTGGTCTCCAGAGCACTTCAACAGCCTGGAGGACAAGAAGTGAGGGTTGTACGGCAAGAGAGAGGGAGCAGGGCCGGAGGCGAGGCAAGTCAACAAGCAGGTCACGCTCTGTGAGTGTGTCCTCATCGTCCTGTGGAGTCCACACCACCTCCACCGCCTGGCAAGGGCGAGGGGACGAAGTGAGAGGGAACAGGGGTGGGAAGGAGGGAAACCGGCAAGCATGTTGACTCCGTGGGGATGTTTTTGAGTCGACTAAAAAACGGTGGTGTCGTCATCTTCCTGAGCCATCCAGAGCACCTCCACTGCCTGGTAGACAGGAAGAGAGGGCAAAGGTTAAGAACAAGGTGGGGTAAGAGGTGGCGGTAAGGGTTGTTGCCAACAAGCATGTTGCGCTCCGTGGGGGTGTCGTCATCGTCCTGAGGCATCCGGAGCACCTCCACCGCCTGGATGTGGGAGAGGAGGGGAGGGAACGAAGTGGGAGGGAGCAGGAGTGGGAAGGAGAGAAGCCAACAAGCATCTGATGTCGCGCTCCGTGAGCCTTTCCTCATCGTCCTGGGCCGTCCACAGCACCTCCACCGCCTGGATGAGGCGATTTTTGAGTCGACTCAAGAATCGACCTCCACCGCCTGGATGGGGAGGAGAGGAGGTAGAAGTCAAGAAGAGCAGAGAGGGAGGGAGGGAGGAAGCAGAATAACGTCACTTGCGTGAGGGAGAGGGAGGGAGGGAGGGAGGATGTAGAAAAAAAGGCCCATGTTTGAGGGAAAGGGAAAGGGGAGTAGAACGAGGCAACATGTGAGAAGAGAAGAAGGAAATCCAGCCTCATACTGTGGAAGATGACACATTTAATGCTCGCTGAAGTCCACTAGAAGCTTATCTAGACAAACCCGAAGGTCATCGGCACACCTGGGGCTTATGAAACCCTGAACACGCCTGGAATTCATGAAAACTCACCTGAAGCTCATCAAATCACACTTTAGCTAGAATGAGCTCCCCTGAAACTCATTCGAACACGCCTGAAATTCATGAGAACTCACCTGAAGCTCATCAGCAGGGACAGAGCCGAGGCGAGTCAGGGCTTCCCTCAGATCACTCGAAGATTTTATTTCCGGTAGCCGAAACGTTCCCTCCGCTGCTGCCAGCACTGTCACCTGCAAGTTTGTGCATACGTGATGTGAGGAGGAATGGATTTGGTTGGCAAAAAGTCAGAATTGGTCGCAGAGAAACCACAAGGACCAAAGTGCTCTGCTGCTGCCAGCGCTGTCTGTCACCTGCAATGTGTATCAGCAGAAAGGCAAGAACGAGTGCATATGGACATTCTGTGAAAATTGGCGCAACGGATGCATCATAAGTGCCCTCTGCAAAGAGCGAAAAGCGCCCTCTGCTGTGCTGCCAGCACTGTTATGTGCGGTGAGCTGGCACAACTCTACGTACCTCAGTGCACACTCAAACTCCCCACAATATACACTCAACATCCCAGAACACTACATACCACAATGTATTCCGAGTTCATGCGATCCTGGCTGGGCTTGCGCGTGATTCGCCGCCTGATGCCGTCCACGTTGACCAGAGTCTCCTCCTTGAACTTGCTACGCTCCTCCATGCTCATGCGGTTGAACACTGCTTCACCGGCATAAGAGTCGTTATTCACCTCCGACTGTTGGTATGAGGGGGGATGGGAGGAGCGGAGAGGGGTGGGAGGGTGAGGGAAACAAGAGTCTCCTCCTTGAACTTGCTCCGCAATTCCATACTCATGCGGTTGAATGCTGCCTCTCCACCATACAAGTCGCTATTCACCTTATGACTGTATGGTTGGGAGATACGGGATTGAAGGGGAAGGGGGAGGATAACAAATAATTCCTTCTTCAATTTGCTCTTCCCCACCCTTTCCGCTTCCCCTTCTTCTAGATGTGGCTGAGCGCTCATGAAATTAAGGGAGGGATGGAGGAGGGTTCTTGCGGGTAAAAGTAGAGGGAGGTGGAGAAAAAACCAGTGGAAGCAAGGAGCATGTGACACGCAAGAAAGGCACATGGATGGAAACAAATGTGTGGCCTTGTTTTTTCTCCCCACATTTTCCTCGGGTCACCCGTGGATTTCCACAAGCTTCAGCAATACTTACAAAGGAGAAGCCATGGATGCAACATTCCGGGTTGCTTCGTACTAGGTCCTAGTAAACGAGAAAACTCAACTACCACAGCGCCTAACTCAGGTCACGTGTGGTTCAAAGCACTTACGCATGAGAAGCTGTATATGCAATAGTCCGGGTTGCTGCTTACTAGGCCCTAACCTAAAACACTCAAATACCAAAGCGCCTAACTCAGGTCGCACGTGGTTCCCAGCACTTACAGAGGAGAAGCCGTAGATGCAGTAGTCCGGGTTGCGCAGCAGCGCCAGCACCGTCTCTGTTGAATGGAAAGGGAATGAGAAGGAACGAGAGAAATAGACAGAGGACGCGAGTGAGCGGCAGAGAATGTGACGAGAATGCGCAGCAGCGCCAGCACCGTCTCTGTTGAATGGGCAAATCCGACGGGTGGCATGCAGAAACACAAGTGGAAGAGACGAAGGAAGGGAATAAGGAGGAGAGAGGAAGCGAGTGAGCGGCAGGAAAGAGAAACAGCAAAACATGAGTAACATTACACATTCCAAATAAATAAATACTGTGCCTTGCAGGATGTAATGAAGGCCCTCCGGTGAGCTCGATAACGGTGAAAGCGTCTGACCGTCTAGCCGTCTCTCCCTCCAACCGTCTAGCCGTCTTCCAAAAATAACTCCGATATAACGGAATACAGTACTGTACCTTGCAGGATGTAATGAAGGCCCTCGGGTGAGCTCGCATCCGCGCGGTCCGCGATCCGATCCAGATCCCGTTGCAGGCGCCGCGCCGAGCCTAGCAACCCAACCTGCAGCCTCACCACGCTGCTACGCTGCGTCTCCTGCCACACTCCCTCCTCCTGCGCCGAGCTTAGAAACCCCATAACTGACTGCGACACGAACCAGATCACGATCCCGATAACGAGGAGATTAAAGATCCCGCCGCCGCCGCCGCCGCCGTAGGCGATGGAAGGGCCGAAGAAGAAGAACGGGGACGGCGCGAAGAACGGGACGGACGGGCCGACGATCACGGGGGGAGCGTTGTAGGAGTATCCGCCGCCGCGGGGCGCGGAGGGGGGTGGGGCGTAGGAGCGCATGCGGGAGGCGCCGAAGCCGCTTCCGCCGATTCTTCCGCCGCCCATCGCGGCGAGTGCGGCGTCCGGAGCGCCGGCGGCGAGGACGGCGGAAATTAGGAGCGCGGCGAGTGCTGGCTTAACTGCGGCTTTAAGAGCGTCGAGAAGAGAAGTCTTCGCTTCGGTGAATGATGATGGGAGGCTTGTAGATTGTTGCGAAGCCGGGACTGACTCGTCTTGAGGAGTGGACGAGGGAGGGGCCTGAGCATTTACAACGACGCTGCACCTTTGACGGGAAAAGGGCTGCGCGGGTGTAATTCTAGAAGAGGTAAGCTTGCGTGGCAGCGGTACTAAGGTTGAGGCGAGAGAGGCGCAGCGCGGCTTGCTGGAACCCACCCGAGGCGCGGCGAGCAGGCCACTCGAGGTCGACGTGCTCCCTTGAAGGGCGACGGCAGACGCCATGGTCGAAGGTTGAAATGCGCGGGACTGGTGTTAGCAGCACGACAAGCTCAAGCACTAAAATATGACTGAAGCCTAGATCGACTCTCGAGAATGCCGTGACTGAGAAGCAGTTTGGAGTTAGATAAAACTTTCTACGGTATCTGCATGTAATGCCTGTTTGGATATTTCAGAGATAGGCTGCTGAAACTAAATCTGAAAATGGTAGAGCGCATTCCTGTTCTATAAGTCGTTCCAGTGTCGGAAACTGGAAACTGCTGATTGCTACTTAATACTGACGATGTGCTGGTTCGTGTATTTAAGCTTGCTTCTTTCAGCTACTTGATGGTTCTCGAACACGCCCCCGAGTTTCGAAGGGCCCCTTCGATATTCCTTTCTGACAAAGCGCGTGAAACTTTTGTATGACGTGGTAATCTTGAAATTTTCGGGGATTGCTGCGATTCCGTCCACATGTCTCTGTGTGAGGGGCTCGTGTGTGTGCATCATCCACGAGGGTGATGACGCGACTCCCTAGTGCTCGTGCCACGTCAATGGCGTCTCGTGGAAGCAATCCCGACGCCGTGTGCCTGCGGACGAATATCAAACCGACACCAAATGTTTAGCAAATGTCCTCCATAAGGGACCACTTATCAACCGTCGATAGCAGCACTGTACAATCTTCTCTACACGGATTAAGTATATGCCCTTTACTTGCACCATCTTGAGCAGTACCATTTGTGGGGGCACACATACCAGTTTCTGCAGAACACTGAAGTGGAATCCTTATTCTGTAAATATTCATTCATATGGGATCCGCCTAACCTCTTCTACAAGTTCCACCCCGAATTCCTCTCTCACCCTCCTTTTCACCTCCACAATCAGCCCTTCCATATCCTCACTACTGCACGCCCCACCATTCACCAGAAAATTAGCATGCATGGGCGACACAAAAGCATCTCCAACATGCAGGCCTTTCAACCCAGCCCGGTCTATTAGAGCACCTGCAGATGCAGGGAGAGTAACTGCTGAAGCACCAGCTGCTGCTAAACCGGCTGGAGGTGAGGAACCCACAGGAGGAGCAGAGATAGAGCAGGGAGCAGAACCAAGGGGAGGTGCAGGGTTGCGGAATATGCACCCAACAGAGCGATCAGCAATGGGCTGAGACTGTCGCCGCCTGGCACAGAAATAGGGTGGGGAATTCGTAGGGATTTGGCAGGGAGGTCAGAAAGAAGGCTTGTTGGGAGTAAGTGGACAAAGGACAGAGGTTGGGGAGAAAGGGGGCTGTTGTGTCTGTCTGGCAGGCTGATGTTATGGTAATAGCAACCAAGGTCTCCAACAGCCTGGATCAAGGTGATGCTCAGGTTGATGCTCAGGTTGATGCTCAGGGTGAGATTGTCCCACTGCCTTCCCAATACCCGAGGTGTCTTTGGAGCCAGATAATTCTGCCATCAACAGAAGTTGAGTTTCTGCGTCAAATACTGTTGTTGTTTTCTGTACATATGTGGATGGGATCCGGTAAGAAACAAAATACAATCTCCAGCAGCAAGCATATTGGGAAGCAGCTCACCTGTCCATGTATGGTATTATTGCACTATGGCAGCACAGTCCGGCATGCGCTGGAAGGGCGAGTTGCGGTAAGCAACGAGCTCCCGAGTTAACGAGTCAACGGAGTCAACGGCTAGCAGCCTCTCACCTGTCCATGTATCGTCTTTGCCTGTCCCGTGCCTCACTGCTCCTTTTCAGCCCGAAAGTTGCTCCCACTATGGCAGCACAGTCCGGCATGCGCTGGAAGGGCGAGTGGCGGTAGGCGAAAGTGAGGTCGGTGCGAGGGAAGGAGAGGAGATCCCCAGTTGACGAGAGGACGTCCACAGAGAGCAGACAGTCGGCTGTTTCCTGGGGGAGGAAATGGAGGGCGGGAGGGAGGGGGGAAGGGGTGAGGGAGGGCATGTGCTGGAAGGGCGAGTGGCGGTAGGCAAAGGTGAGTTCAGAGCGAGAGAAGGAGTGAAACGTCCCCGTCGGAGAGAGCGCGTCCACAGAGAGCAGACAGTCTGCTGTTTCCTGTGGGAAGAAATGGAGGGCGGGAGGGAGGGGGGAAGGGGTGAGGGAGGGCATGTGCTGGAAGGGCGAGTGGCGGTAGGCAAAGGTGAGTTCAGAGCGAGAGAAGGAGTGAAACGTCCCCGTCGGAGAGAGCGCGTCCACAGAGAGCAGACAGTCTGCTGTTTCCTGTGGGAAGAAATGGAGGGCGGGAGGGAGGGGGGAAGGGGTGAGGGAGGGCATGTGCTGGAAGGGCGAGTGGCGGTAGGCAAAGGTGAGTTCAGAGCGAGAGAAGGAGTGAAACGTCCCCGTCGGAGAGAGCGCGTCCACAGAGAGCAGACAGTCTGCTGTTTCCTGTGGGAAGAAATGGAGGGCGGGAGGGAGGGGGGAAGGGGTGAGGGAGGGCATGTGCTGGAAGGGCGAGTGGCGGTAGGCAAAGGTGAGTTCAGAGCGAGAGAAGGAGTGAAACGTCCCCGTCGGAGAGAGCGCGTCCACAGAGAGCAGACAGTCTGCTGTTTCCTGTGGGAAGAAATGGAGGGCGGGAGGGAGGGGGGAAGGGGTGAGGGAGGGCATGTGCTGGAAGGGCGAGTGGCGGTAGGCAAAGGTGAGTTCAGAGCGAGAGAAGGAGTGAAACGTCCCCGTCGGAGAGAGCGCGTCCACAGAGAGCAGACAGTCTGCTGTTTCCTGTGGGAAGAAATGGAGGGCGGGAGGGAGGGGGGAAGGGGTGAGGGAGGGCATGTGCTGGAAGGGCGAGTGGCGGTAGGCAAAGGTGAGTTCAGAGCGAGAGAAGGAGTGAAACGTCCCCGTCGGAGAGAGCGCGTCCACAGAGAGCAGACAGTCTGCTGTTTCCTGTGGGAAGAAATGGAGGGCGGGAGGGAGGGGGGAAGGGGTGAGGGAGGGCATGTGCTGGAAGGGCGAGTGGCGGTAGGCAAAGGTGAGTTCAGAGCGAGAGAAGGAGTGAAACGTCCCCGTCGGAGAGAGCGCGTCCACAGAGAGCAGACAGTCTGCTGTTTCCTGTGGGAAGAAATGGAGGGCGGGAGGGAGGGGGGAAGGGGTGAGGGAGGGCATGTGCTGGAAGGGCGAGTGGCGGTAGGCAAAGGTGAGTTCAGAGCGAGAGAAGGAGTGAAACGTCCCCGTCGGAGAGAGCGCGTCCACAGAGAGCAGACAGTCTGCTGTTTCCTGTGGGAAGAAATGGAGGGCGGGAGGGAGGGGGGAAGGGGTGAGGGAGGGCATGTGCTGGAAGGGCGAGTGGCGGTAGGCAAAGGTGAGTTCAGAGCGAGAGAAGGAGTGAAACGTCCCCGTCGGAGAGAGCGCGTCCACAGAGAGCAGACAGTCTGCTGTTTCCTGTGGGAAGAAATGGAGGGCGGGAGGGAGGGGGGAAGGGGTGAGGGAGGGCATGTGCTGGAAGGGCGAGTGGCGGTAGGCAAAGGTGAGTTCAGAGCGAGAGAAGGAGTGAAACGTCCCCGTCGGAGAGAGCGCGTCCACAGAGAGCAGACAGTCTGCTGTTTCCTGTGGGAAGAAATGGAGGGCGGGAGGGAGGGGGGAAGGGGTGAGGGAGGGCATGTGCTGGAAGGGCGAGTGGCGGTAGGCAAAGGTGAGTTCAGAGCGAGAGAAGGAGTGAAACGTCCCCGTCGGAGAGAGCGCGTCCACAGAGAGCAGACAGTCTGCTGTTTCCTGTGGGAAGAAATGGAGGGCGGGAGGGAGGGGGGAAGGGGTGAGGGAGGGCATGTGCTGGAAGGGCGAGTGGCGGTAGGCAAAGGTGAGTTCAGAGCGAGAGAAGGAGTGAAACGTCCCCGTCGGAGAGAGCGCGTCCACAGAGAGCAGACAGTCTGCTGTTTCCTGTGGGAAGAAATGGAGGGCGGGAGGGAGGGGGGAAGGGGTGAGGGAGGGCATGTGCTGGAAGGGCGAGTGGCGGTAGGCAAAGGTGAGTTCGGCGCGAGGGAAGGAGAGGAGGGTGCCTGTCGGAGAGAGGACGTCCACAGAAAGCAAGGAGTCAGCTGTTTCCTGGAGGAGGAAATGGAGGGCAGGAGGGAGGGGGGAAGGGGTGAGGGAGGGCATGTGCTGGAAGGGCGAGTGGCGGTAGGCGAAAGTGGGGTGGGCGCGAGGGAAGGAGAGGTGGGTGCCGGTGGGAGAGAGCACGTCCACAGCTAGCAAACAGTCGGCTGTTTCCTGTGAGGGAGGGTGGGGGGGGGGGGAGCGAGGGAGGGCGGGAGGAAAAGGCTTGTGCTGGAAGAGCGAGTGGTGGTAAGCGAAGGTGAGATCGGAGCAAGAGAAGGAGAGGAGAGTGCCGGTGGGAGGGAGGACGTCCACAGAGAGCAAACAGTCGGCTGTTTCTTGCATAGGGAGCGGGGCGAGGGAGGGAGGGGGAGGAAGGGAAGGAGGGAGCGCATTTGCTGGAAGGGCGAGCGTTGGTAGGCGAATGTGAGGTGGGAGTGAGGGAAGGAGAGGAGATTGCCGGTTGGAGAGCAGACATTCGGCTGTTTCCTGAGGGAGTGATGGAGGGGGAAAGTGGGGTAAGATTGCCGGTTGAAGAGAGGACATTCACAGAGAGTAGACAGTCCAATAATTCCTGAGGGAGGAAACGGGAGGGAGTGGGGAAGGTGGAGGGGAAAAAGGCAGGGGAAGGCTTGTGCTAGAAGGGCGAGTGGTGGTAGGCAAAGGTGAGGTGGGCGCGAGAGAAGGAGAAGAGAGTGCCGGTTGGAAAGAGGGCGTCCACGGAGAGCAAGCAGTCGCCTGTTTCCTGAGGGAGTGATGGAGTGATGGCGCAAGAGAAGGAGAAAGAGAGTGCCGGTTGGAAAGAGGGCGTCCACGGAGAGCAAGCAGTCGCCTGTTCTGAGAGGGAAACAGAGGAAAAGAGGGAGGAAAGGAATGGAGAAAGGAGGGGAGGTGGAGGGGAAAGGAGGGACGGCGTGTGCTGGAAGGACGAGTGACGGTAGGTGAAGGTGAGGTCAGAGCGAGAGGAGGAGAGGAGAATGCCGGTGGGAGAGAGCACATCCACTGAGAGCAGACAGTCCGCTGTTTCCAGAGACAGGAACAGGCAGGAGGGAAGAAGGAAGAGGGCAGGACATGCGTTCACGAATACAGAATCTAAAATGCCCCAACTCTCGCTCCTCGTGTAGAGAGGGTGTTTTTGAGACGTCTCAAAAACACCCTCTCTACACGTTCATGAATACAGCATCCAAAATGCCCCAACTCTCGCTCCTCCGTATTCCCCTCAACTCCCCCATTGCGTCTCACCTGCCCGTCCGCCCCAGCGTTCATGAAGACAGCGCCCCCCACGGTGCCGGGAATGCCGCCTGCAAACTCCAGCCCTGAGAGGCCATCTCGCGAGCACTCCACGCCCAGCAGGTTGAACGGGTACCCTCCCCCCACCTGCACCACCGCATCGTACCCCTCAGCACCGTGACAGCTGGTAATGGAATCAGTATCCCCGTCTCGAGAGCACTCCACGCCCAGCAGGTTGAACGGGTACCCTCCCCCTACGTGCACCACTGCGTCGTACTGAGCAGATGTCTGTTTGCTGCTACTGCTGTCATTGTCATCGTTGCTGCTCTTGCTGCTGCTGCTGCTGCTGCTGCTGCTGCTGCTGCTACCAGTGCTGCTGCTGCTTCTGTTATTGCTGCCGCTGCTTCTGTTATTGCTGCCGCTGCTGTTACTGCTGTCGATATGGCTGCTGGTGCTGTATTGGTGCACAGACGAAGGAGCAGCAGTATCTGTGCACTCCACTCTATCCACTCGCTTGTACGCGATTCTGTTGACGATCACACACCCCTTGAACCCGCGGTCCTCAAACAGGCAGTTGGAGCCCTTGCCTATCACCACCGCACGGATGCTGTTGCTGTGGCAGAACCTGAGATGGGAGGGGGGTGGGAGGGAAGGAATGGGAAGCAGGAGTGTGTGAGGGAAACTCTGACAACGGATAAACAGGCAGTTGGCGCCCTTGCCTATCACCACTGCACGGATGCTGTTGCTGTGGCAGAACCTGCAGGCAACGATTTTGTACAGGAAAGAGATAGAGCCTCGACTGACAAACAGGCACTTGGAGCCCTTGCCTATCACCAGCGCACGGATGGCGTTGCTGTGGCAGAACCTGAGAGACAACGGAGGGAAGGGAAGGGGTACAGGAAAGAGATAGAGCCTCGACTGACAAACAGGCACTTGGAGCCCTTGCCTATCACCAGCGCGCGGATGGCGTTGCTGTGGCAGAACCTGAGAGACAACGGAGGGAAGGGAAGGGGTACAGGAAAGAGATAGAGCCTCGACTGACAAACAGGCACTTGGAGCCCTTGCCTATCACCAGCGCGCGGATGGCGTTGCTGTGGCAGAACCTGAGAGACAACGGAGGGAAGGGAAGGGGTACAGGAAAGAGATAGAGCCTCGACTGACAAACAGGCACTTGGAGCCCTTGCCTATCACCAGCGCGCGGATGGCGTTGCTGTGGCAGAACCTGAGAGACAACGGAGGGAAGGGAAGGGGTACAGGAAAGAGATAGAGCCTCGACTGACAAACAGGCACTTGGAGCCCTTGCCTATCACCAGCGCGCGGATGGCGTTGCTGTGGCAGAACCTGAGAGACAACGGAGGGAAGGGAAGGGGTACAGGAAAGAGATAGAGCCTCGACTGACAAACAGGCACTTGGAGCCCTTGCCTATCACCAGCGCGCGGATGGCGTTGCTGTGGCAGAACCTGAGAGACAACGGAGGGAAGGGAAGGGGTACAGGAAAGAGATAGAGCCTCGACTGACAAACAGGCACTTGGAGCCCTTGCCTATCACCAGCGCGCGGATGGCGTTGCTGTGGCAGAACCTGAGAGACAACGGAGGGAAGGGAAGGGGTACAGGAAAGAGATAGAGCCTCGACTGACAAACAGGCACTTGGAGCCCTTGCCTATCACCAGCGCGCGGATGGCGTTGCTGTGGCAGAACCTGAGAGACAACGGAGGGAAGGGAAGGGGTACAGGAAAGAGATAGAGCCTCGACTGACAAACAGGCAGTTGGAGCCCTTGCCTATCACCAGCGCGCGGATGGCGTTGCTGTGGCAGAACCTGAGAGACAACGGAGGGAAGGGAAGGGGTACAGGAAAGAGATAGAGCCTCGACTGACAAACAGGCAGTTGGAGCCCTTGCCTATCACCAGCGCGCGGATGGCGTTGCTGTGGCAGAACCTGAGAGACAACGGAGGGAAGGGAAGGGGTACAGGAAAGAGATAGAGCCTCGACTGACAAACAGGCACTTGGAGCCCTTGCCTATCACCAGCGCGCGGATGGCGTTGCTGTGGCAGAACCTGAGAGACAACGGAGGGAAGGGAAGGGGTACAGGAAAGAGATAGAGCCTCGACTGACAAACAGGCACTTGGAGCCCTTGCCTATCACCAGCGCGCGGATGGCGTTGCTGTGGCAGAACCTGAGAGACAACGGAGGGAAGGGAAGGGGTACAGGAAAGAGATAGAGCCTCGACTGACAAACAGGCACTTGGAGCCCTTGCCTATCACCAGCGCGCGGATGGCGTTGCTGTGGCAGAACCTGAGAGACAACGGAGGGAAGGGAAGGGGTACAGGAAAGAGATAGAGCCTCGACTGACAAACAGGCACTTGGAGCCCTTGCCTATCACCAGCGCGCGGATGGCGTTGCTGTGGCAGAACCTGAGAGACAACGGAGGGAAGGGAAGGGGTACAGGAAAGAGATAGAGCCTCGACTGACAAACAGGCAGTTGGAGCCCTTGCCTATCACCAGCGCGCGGATGGCGTTGCTGTGGCAGAACCTGAGAGACAACGGAGGGAAGGGAAGGGGTACAGGAAAGAGATAGAGCCTCGACTGACAAACAGGCACTTGGAGCCCTTGCCTATCACCAGCGCGCGGATGGCGTTGCTGTGGCAGAACCTGAGAGACAACGGAGGGAAGGGAAGGGGTACAGGAAAGAGATAGAGCCTCGACTGACAAACAGGCACTTGGAGCCCTTGCCTATCACCAGCGCGCGGATGGCGTTGCTGTGGCAGAACCTGAGAGACAACGGAGGGAAGGGAAGGGGTACAGGAAAGAGATAGAGCCTCGACTGACAAACAGGCACTTGGAGCCCTTGCTTATCACCAGCGCGCGGATGGCGTTGCTGTGGCAGAACCTGAGAGACAACGGAGGGAAGGGAAGGGGTACAGGAAAGAGATAGAGCCTCGACTGACAAACAAGCACTTGGAGCCCTTGCCTATCACCAGCGCGCGGATGGCGTTGCTGTGGCAGAACCTGAGAGACAACGGAGGGAAGGGAAGGGGTACAGGAAAGAGAGAGAGCCTCGACTAACAAACAGGCACTTGGAGCCCTTGCCTATCACCAGCGCGCGGATGGCGTTGCTGTGGCAGAACCTGAGAGACAACGGAGGGAAGGGAAGGGGTACAGGAAAGAGATAGAGCCTCGACTGACAAACAGTCACTTGGAGCCCTTGCCTATCACCAGCGCGCGGATGGCGTTGCTGTGGCAGAACCTGAGAGACAACGGAGGGAAGGGAAGGGGTACAGGAAAGAGATAGAGCCTCGACTGACAAACAGGCACTTGGAGCCCTTGCCTATCACCAGCGCGCGGATGGCGTTGCTGTGGCAGAACCTGAGAGACAACGGAGGGAAGGGAAGGGGTACAGGAAAGAGATAGAGCCTCGACTGACAAACAGGCACTTGGAGCCCTTGCCTATCACCAGCGCGCGGATGGCGTTGCTGTGGCAGAACCTGAGAGACAACGGAGGGAAGTGAAGGGGTACAGGAAAGAGATAGAGCCTCGACTAACAAACAGGCACTTGGAGCCCTTGCCTATCACCAGCGCGCGGATGGCGTTGCTGTGGCAGAACCTGAGAGACAACGGAGGGAAGGGAAGGGGTACAGGAAAGAGATAGAGCCTCGACTAACAAACAGGCACTTGGAGCCCTTGCCTATCACCAGCGCGCGGATGGCGTTGCTGTGGCAGAACCTGAGAGACAACGGAGGGAAGGGAAGGGGTACAGGAAAGAGATAGAGCCTCGACTGACAAACAGGCAGTTGGAGCCCTTGCCTATCACCAGCGCGCGGATGGCGTTGCTGTGGCAGAACCTGAGAGACAACGGAGGGAAGGGAAGGGGTACAGGAAAGAGATAGAGCCTCGACTGACAAACAGGCACTTGGAGCCCTTGCCTATCACCAGCGCGCGGATGGCGTTGCTGTGGCAGAACCTGAGAGACAACGGAGGGAAGGGAAGGGGTACAGGAAAGAGATAGAGCCTCGACTGACAAACAGGCAGTTGGAGCCCTTGCCTATCACCAGCGCGCGGATGGCGTTGCTGTGGCAGAACCTGAGAGACAACGGAGGGAAGGGAAGGGGTACAGGAAAGAGATAGAGCCTCGACTGACAAACAGGCACTTGGAGCCCTTGCCTATCACCAGCGCGCGGATGGCGTTGCTGTGGCAGAACCTGAGAGACAACGGAGGGAAGGGAAGGGGTACAGGAAAGAGATAGAGCCTCGACTGACAAACAGGCACTTGGAGCCCTTGCCTATCACCAGCGCGCGGATGGCGTTGCTGTGGCAGAACCTGAGAGACAACGGAGGGAAGTGAAGGGGTACAGGAAAGAGATAGAGCCTCGACTAACAAACAGGCACTTGGAGCCCTTGCCTATCACCAGCGCGCGGATGGCGTTGCTGTGGCAGAACCTGAGAGACAACGGAGGGAAGGGAAGGGGTACAGGAAAGAGATAGAGCCTCGACTAACAAACAGGCACTTGGAGCCCTTGCCTATCACCAGCGCGCGGATGGCGTTGCTGTGGCAGAACCTGAGAGACAACGGAGGGAAGGGAAGGGGTACAGGAAAGAGATAGAGCCTCGACTGACAAACAGGCAGTTGGAGCCCTTGCCTATCACCAGCGCGCGGATGGCGTTGCTGTGGCAGAACCTGAGAGACAACGGAGGGAAGGGAAGGGGTACAGGAAAGAGATAGAGCCTCGACTGACAAACAGGCACTTGGAGCCCTTGCCTATCACCAGCGCGCGGATGGCGTTGCTGTGGCAGAACCTGAGAGACAACGGAGGGAAGGGAAGGGGTACAGGAAAGAGATAGAGCCTCGACTGACAAACAGGCAGTTGGAGCCCTTGCCTATCACCAGCGCGCGGATGGCGTTGCTGTGGCAGAACCTGAGAGACAACGGAGGGAAGGGAAGGGGTACAGGAAAGAGATAGAGCCTCGACTGACAAACAGGCACTTGGAGCCCTTGCCTATCACCAGCGCGCGGATGGCGTTGCTGTGGCAGAACCTGAGAGACAACGGAGGGAAGGGAAGGGGTACAGGAAAGAGATAGAGCCTCGACTGACAAACAGTCACTTGGAGCCCTTGCCTATCACCAGCGCGCGGATGGCGTTGCTGTGGCAGAACCTGAGAGACAACGGAGGGAAGGGAAGGGGTACAGGAAAGAGATAGAGCCTCGACTGACAAACAGGCACTTGGAGCCCTTGCCTATCACCAGCGCACGGATGGCGTTGCTGTGGCAGAACCTGAGAGACAACGGAGGGAAGGGAAGGGGTACAGGAAAGAGATAGAGCCTCGACTGACAAACAGGCACTTGGAGCCCTTGCCTATCACCAGCGCACGGATGGCGTTGCTGTGGCAGAACCTGAGAGACAACGGAGGGAAGGGAAGGGGTACAGGAAAGAGATAGAGCCTCGACTGACAAACAGGCACTTGGAGCCCTTGCCTATCACCAGCGCGCGGATGGCGTTGCTGTGGCAGAACCTGAGAGACAACGGAGGGAAGGGAAGGGGTACAGGAAAGAGATAGAGCCTCGACTGACAAACAGGCACTTGGAGCCCTTGCCTATCACCAGCGCGCGGATGGCGTTGCTGTGGCAGAAC